TTTTATTTTTGTAACTCAAACACTATTTATACGATTTCTTAAGAAAAATTCACCCATTAAAATAGTCTACACGCATAACACACCCAGGGGCGGACCTAGAGCAAACGTTACGGGTTCCCATGAACCCAATAACTTTTGCATAGATCCTATATTTATACTAACAAATTCATTAAAAGTATAAGAATATTTAGCTTTACAGTTTGTTCTATTTGCTGTGGTCTGATTTTCTCCCTCTTTTCGGCATGTCCCAAAGTAATTAGTATATATGATCTTAGAGTCCCATTGGCAATCCTTCCATCATTTGCATTTTTCGTCTGTCTCCTTCTCTGAGAGATTGTTATAGGAATCCATAAACTTAAAATTCTGGATCCGCCTCTAAACACACCCATATTATAACACTAGTTTGTATCCTAAAAGTGTAATGTTTGGTATTCACCCAATTCGTTTTTTTCTCTTGCCTGACTCTCGGGTAACTCCGAACGAACCAATTTCTAAAGACTGTTACTCTTGTTTTCTCTTACAAAACTTCAGATAGTTGCAAACTTCAGCTGATAGTTTCTCATCAAGGTTCCTTTCTGTGTAAGCTAAAATGGAAGAAGATAGGTAAGTTTACTTGATCTCAGCTCATTCTGGTTTCTTCTACTTCTTATTTTCTTGTTTTCCTGTTGAATATTTAGCTTCAATTATTTAATTTATAGTGCGCATCCTTATTTATATGAATATATGAATTACTATCCACTTGCTACATCTCCTCGTCACTAAATTGTTAATTTTTTTATTTCTTGCTACATCTCTCAGCGAGGGACCATCATACTATGCAATATCAACATATTATCTTCATAGTTTCAACAAAAACTAGTACTCTCTCCGGAGCATGTGTGACAATGTTTGACTTGCACAAAATTTATTTAAAAAAAAATACTTTTGAAACTTGTGGTTTAAAATAAGTCATAAATATTTGTATGATTATAAATGTCAATTTATCAATGATCGAGAGAGAAATTGATGAATTGGTAGAGAGAAGAAAAGCTGAAGAGAATTTGGAGAGGAATCTAACTGATTCTCATTTCTTCTGCATGCTACGGTAAAGAGTAGTACTTCCTATATATACACAATACTTAACTAACTCCACTAACTAACTAAGCTTTCCTTTTAACAATAAATAACCACCTTATTGGCTAATTAGCTAACTAATACATGTTAGCTTATATGCTCTCAACAATAAATCGTCTAAAAAGGAAAGTATGACACATAAGTTAGGACATAGAGAGTGAATAGTTGCTAGTCTAAGCATTTGTCAGTATTCTTGTAGCTATTTGGAGTGTACTATCAAAAACTAATGCTTCATTTCTTGTAGCTGTTGGTTCTTGAATATAAGTCTGATTGTATTCCTTTTGCTTTGTTTTGAATAGATGTATGGAGGAAGTGGCCAAAGAGTTTCTCCAAAAGCCTGTTAAGCTCTCTGATGTTGAAAGCAACAACGACGAAGCAGATCAGTTAAGAGAAGAATATTTTAGAAAGAAAAGAAAACTTCAAGACTGTTTACTGTCAGCAAGATCATGGCGCGATCTGCCGCCAGAAATTTTAACGGAAATAGCAGACAACTTCGGAATTATTGATCTTCTTGGTTTTCGTGGAGTCTGCACAAATTGGCGCTCTGCTTCTTTCCTAGCTACTGCAGCCATAGAATATGCTCCTGATACACACCCTTATTTCCTACTCTACAACGATGAAGATGAGGAATGCATACTCGTTAACCCCACCAATGACAAAAAGTATACCCTTAATATCCCCGAATTGAAAGAAGCTACTTGCCTTGCTTCGAGTCATAGTTGGTTACTGTTATCCCAAAAGGGTCTCATTTTCTTCTTCTGCCCTTTCTCTCACGTGAGAATTGACCTCCCCCCATTTCAAGAATCAGAAATTTCTAAAGGTTCTGCTGCGTTTACCTCATCTCTTTTGTCAAATGATTGTGTTACGGCTCTCATTCGTCGAAAACGTCATAAGTTTCTGGAACTACATGTGTTGGAACGCGGAGATAGCGCGTGGGTGAAATATGAATATGATCTTTCATTGAGATTTTTTTGTGGTGTTAAAGGTGCTACTTTTGCTGATGAGTGTTTTCAAATTTTGGATGAGAATGACAAGATGATAACGTTCGACTTGGGAAATAAGAGTTTTGAGTATTACAAAATAGTAAAAGAACGTAGAGATCCAAATATTGAAAGCCTGCCTTTTAACTACAAGGAGAAATGTTTCAGTAAGAGTGATTTCAGGAAAAGGATGAAACTTGGGAATGATGTTGCTATTTCTATTTGTGCTGCCTATTATGCTGGAAGTGGTGATTCTGTAATTTTTGTTAAGAATGAAAAATTTAAGGCCATACTAGATTATGATGCTCAAGAATTCAAAGGAGTTTGGATTCAACCTAGATTCTTTCAACTCCCTCCAAATTACAGCTGGTGATCTCTTTGAGATTTTGCTCTTTACATTAAAAATTTGCATTTTTTTCATTTTTGTTTCCTCTCATTCCAATTCATTTTTCTTCTTGGGGATAGCTTCAAGATTAAGATAAGTTGTTGGAATGTAGAGGATTGATAATCCTTAGGGATATTTTGCTTTTGGTTATTTAGTTATAATGCATAAATTTTCATGTCTAAGCTGAGGTCGTACAAGATAATTTAATTTATACAATTGATTATTTTCTTTGCTTGCTCTTGGCCATGTTTAATTAATTGTAAGGAAGACCTCTAATAAAGTGCTCTATGTGAAAAAGGGATTTCCTGGTGTACCCCATCACCCCATGTTTTAGAATTAACCTAAATAGCCATCCAATCAACTACTTAAACTAAAAATAACTGGTGAAAGTATAATATATTTATAATATATGTATAACAATTAGAAAAAATTAAATAATAAATTCGGACCAATCTGGTAAAGATCCCTTTTCTTAAACATTAGACTATGTCTATGAGGATTCATATTGGTCACCAAGCTATGGTCTTTTTTAATGTGAACTGAATATGACGGACGCCTTTGGTTAGTTAAAATGGTGATGATTCATGATCAGATTATTATCTACAAAATGTCTTGAGCAAGTTGCCAATTTGATATGAAGAGAACTATATTTGACCAAAGAGTTTACACCATCTTGCGGAACCTTTATAAGCTCTTTGAGAACTTTTATCACTAGAAGGAAAAATTGATGGCATATCTTCTTTTATACAAGAGAATAACATTCTTCAGAATTAAGTGAAGGGGTTGCTTCCCTAATCGGTTACATAATTGACGTGGCAAGTAGCAAAAATAGAAAGTCCAACTTAGGCCTCACACTTGAAAAACTCAAGGGTCATTGTTCCCGACTATTCTATGTTTGTTGTATTTCTGCAAGGGGAGTCCAACCTCGCTAACTTCATTTCTATGTTAAAAATAATGCTCACTATCTTTCCAGCAATTAATACTTGTAAAAATTAAAGTAGAGAAAGAGAATTGCAAAAGGCTTGAGATCTCGGAACAATATAATATATATATATATATATATATATATATATATATATATATATATATATATATATATATATGTGTGTGTGTGTGTGTGTGTGTGTGTGTGTGTGTGTGTGTGTGTGTGTGTAAAAAAAAACAAACATATGTAGACATGTATTTCAGAGCTTGCTCTCAACACAAAGCTCATGTTGAATTTTTGAATCTGCTGTTACAAAGGCATGAAAACGCATCACCTAAATTCAAAATAGCTTCTTCCACCATAGCTGGCACTTGGGCATTTGGTCTAGTGGTATGATTCTCGCTTAGGGTGCGAGAGGTCTCGAGTTCAATTCTCGGAATGCCCCGTCCTGTGTCTATAGGGTTGCTTTTTTCTCCCACAATTCAAATAGGGTCAAAGACAAAACCAGAGAATGCATTTTCATTTTGTTATAAATATATTATATTATGGATGTTCATTTAGTACTCCGTTGTAAATAAGCTTCCTGAAGAAGCTTATCCATATGGGACTCCGCCGTAAATATGTTTATCTATTGAGTACTCTATTGGAAATAAGCTTCCTGAAGAAGCTTATCACTTCGGTACCCGGTTATAGATAAACATTACCCCCGATAGAAGATTATCCATACCGGGTATAATAAGCTTATCACTTCGGTACCCGGTTATAGATAAATATTACCCCCGGTAGAAGATTATCCATACCGGGTACAATGAGCTTATCCTTTCAGTACTCCGTTATGGATAATCATTGCCCCTGGTAGAAGATTATCCATATCTGGTATAATAGCAGCTTACACAACAGCTTGCAGTAGCAGCTCACACAACAACTTTCTTTCTTCTATAAATAGAATAGATTTCAGTTCATTATGTACATCAGTTTGAATTCGAATAATATATCAGTTTCTCTCATACTTGTCTTTACTTTACAGTCTTCATTTTATAACACGTTATCAACACGAGACTCTGCCATCTCGAGCAAATACTTTGAAAGTATCTGAGGTACGAACTTTCTTTTTCTATATAATGTCAAATCTTTTTGAAATTGAATTTGTAGCCCTGGATATATCGGGCAAAAGCTACATGTCTTGGGTGCTTGATGTTGAAATTCATCTGATGCGATGGGTTTGGCGGACACCATCAAGGATAAAAATCAGGCATCAAACCAAAACCGTGCCAAAGCAATAATATTCTTACGCCATCACCTTGATGAGGGCCTGAAAATGGAATATCTTACTATTAAAGATCCAGTCATACTGTGAAATAATTTAAAAGATAGATATGACCACCTGAAGATGGTCGTTCTTCCACAGGCACGATATGATTGGACTCATCTAAGGCTACAAGATTTTAAATCTATCAGTGAGTATAATTCTGCTATGTTCAGAATTATTTCCCAATTGAAATTATGTGGTGATAATATTACTAATCATGATATGTTGGAGAAAACTTTCACCACTTTTCATGCCTCGAATATGCTCCTGCAGTAGCAATATCGAGAGATGGGATTTAAAAAGTATTCTGAACTTATCTCACATCTTCTTATAGCCGAGCAACATAATGGGCTATTAATGAAAAACCATGAAAGCCGACCTACTGGTTCTTGTCCATTCCCTAAAGTGAATGAGACGAACTTCCACCAAGCTAAACGTGGAAGAGGTCGTGGCCCCAGTCGTAGTCATGGCCGTGGTCGGGGAAGAAATCCCAATCATGGTAATAATAATGCACCAAAGAACCCTCCTCGCCACCAGCAGTGGAAAAGGAAGGAACAAAAGCATGAAGCGGTGCAAGCACCAAATGCAAAAAGTGCATGCTATAGATGTGGAGGAAAAGGGCACTGGTCACGTACCTGCCGTACGCCAAAGCACCTGGTTGAGCTTTATCAAGCCTTCCTGAAGAAGACAGCGAAAAATGCTGAAGCAAATTTTATTTCTGAAGATAATTTAGACTTCATGCATTTGGATATAGCTGATTACTTTACACTCCCAGAAGGAGAAACAAGTCATGTAATCGGTGGTGAATCTGCAGAAATATAAATATTTTGATTTTTGTTGTTTGTAGTAGATAGTATGGTTATGTAATTGTTGTACATAAAGAAAAATTATGATTTGATAATGATGTTTACTACGATATATCTTATTTATGTCATTTTAAAGAATATGGATAACATTATTAGATCAACTTAAACTCTAGCAGAGTTTGCAAGAAATATACAACCACCAGAAGTGGTTTTCGTATATCTCATTGTGATTATATTTGTTAACCACCAGAAGTGGTATATGCCTATGATCACCAGAAGTGATAATTTAGGCTTTCTATGGTTACAATTGAAGATAAGCTACATAAATATTCTCTATATTAAATGCACGCCTCGATTTGCTCCTGAAGTAGTAAATATTTTAAAAGAGGTTGAAGCATCACAATTTGATGTGATTAATGCGCATTCAGATAATTATGTTCGATTTTCCTGAAGGATGAGAACTTTTAATAATAATAATCCATTCCCTGAAGTGAATGTGACAATATTAATAAATCTGGTAAATATGAACGCGCTCTTCATGTAAATATATTACCATTCACCTCCAGAAGAGGTAATATGATTGAGAGAATATATACTCAATATTTCGTATTTTAAATTTGCTCCTGAAGAAGTAATACAATTGAAATTGCTTCCTGAAGTAGGAAAATATTATGAAGAGGAGTTTTCTTGTGCTTAAACAATTATTTATTTGATTGTGATTTTCTCTTATGATACCAGAAGTGTCTGAGCAATATTTGATAGTACAAAATGTATCAACAACTCCTGAAGAGCTAAGTGTTTGCCTAGAAGACACATGACACCAGTAGTGTCCGATAAATATTAGATTGTGGATAATAATGAAGGCTCTCGAAGAGCTTATTTACAAATATGTCATTCATATTATATGATTATGGTCAAAACATATGTTGTAGTAAACCCGAAGTTTACTAATATGAATGGCTATCATATTGAGACTATAAATGATTGGAAGATTGAAAATCTTCATGTTTCCACAATCATAGGGGGTAAAATAATATGTATATGAGAAGTTACCCACCTTATTCTTCGATTTGTACTACATCATGTATCACGGTAAACCAGAAGTTTACTAATACAAAAGTAGCCACAGTAAATCAGAAGTTTACTAATGCAAATGTTTATGTCATAGTAAACCAGAAGTTTACTAAGAGATAGCACATGCCATGATAAACTTGAAGTTTTCATTTGCCATTTTTAAATGAGCTATTTGAGAACTCAGATAAGCATATACTGAAGAACTAGAAGATTCTTCAAGAATTCTCCCGTGTTGCTTGTTCTCATAATAAATTGATTATACCAGCTAAAGTTGGGACTAAGACCCCTGATTCTGAAATATATAAAAGGTGAATATGGGCTGTGAATATGGGCCCATTCACCTATCATGTGAACCACTTATAGATGCATATATAAGATGGTTACATGTATGTTTATTGTCAACCTGCAGTTTGGCATTTGAAATTGCTTTTCTCACGTAAGAGCATAATTTTCAGATTATGAAATCAAGACAGTTCATCTTGATAATGCTGGTTTATATACAAGCTAGTTTAGCAGTGAATACCTCCTATTAATGGCTAAACTATTGTTTATGAGAACAAAGCTTCATGTGTTGGTCTAAGATTTTCTAAAATGCATATAGCAGCACTTGTATGCATCAGGCCAACAATATATGATAAGTCCTCCCCTCACAATTGGTTTAGGATCAGAAACTAAATATTTTACTATCTTTTGATGTGTGGTATATGATTAATTTCTCTACCACAATGCACAAAGATATATTTTCCAAAGAAGTTTGGGGATATATGTTAGTTTTTCTAACATTTGGGGGATGGAATAAACAACTGAAAAATATGCTATATGAATCGAATTATCATTAATATGATCCTCACTTAGAAGATAATTCAAGTCAAATGCCAGAAGCAATTTCTGATCCAAAATCAAATATCATATTTCAGCTGCAAATGCTCCTATTAAAATTTAAAGTTCCTGAAGGATAGAGTTTACTGTACGCATGAAGCGTGGTAGACCAGTCGGTTCCAAAGGTAACAATCCTTGAAAAATGATAAGAAGCTAATGATCAAAATAATCATAATGAGGAGGAAATGAGCTCTAGAAGAGCCCACGACATAACATTTCACGAAACTCCAGAAGAAGTTCAGGTGCCTGAAAATAAAGAAAGTGATGAGATCTCAACAAGTGATGTCGCTTAGGAACCGATACAAAATGATCGTAGACGATATATTTGATACAATATAGTGCACAATACTGTAAAATATTGTGAGGATCGGACCAGTAGTCCAGACACTTGAAGATGTCATGCCATTTAAATGCGAGTCATAACCTATATGACTCATTTGATTAAATCTCTATAAAGATCCCTGAAGGATTTAAAATGCCTGAAGCATGTAGTTCAAAGTCTCGAGAAATGTACTCGATCAGATTATAAAGATCTTTGTACGGTTTAAATCAATCTGGGCGCATGTGATATAATTGCCTTAGTGAATATTTGCTGAAAGAAAGTTACATAAATGATGTTATTTGTCCATGTATTTTTATAAAGAAAATGTCATCAGAATTTTTTACACTTGCTGTTTACGTTGATGACATAAATCTTGTTGGAACTCCAGAAGAGCTCCAAAGGCAATTGAATATCTTAAGAAAGAATTTAAGATGAAAGATCTTGGAAAAATAAAAATTTATCTTGGTCTGCAAATTAAATATTTAGCAGACGAGATCTTTATCCATCAATTTGCCTATACACAAAGGGTCTTTAAGCGCTTTTACGTGGACAAAGCGCACCCATTAAGTACACCAATGGGTGTTCGATCACTTGAAGTAAATAAGGACCTGTTCCGACCTCCAGAAGAGGATGAGGAACTCCTTGGTCCTGAAATACTCTATCTCAGTGCAATTGCTATGCACTTATGTATCTTGCTAATGCTAACAAAGGTGGTGCAGATCGTATTGGATATGCAGATACAAGATTAGAATGCAGAGACTCAAATATTTGAAACAAGGTTTTCATCAGGGGGAGTAAAATACGCGATGCACTCTTTTTCCTTACTAAGGTTTTTTCCCACAGGGTTTTTCTTATAAGGTTTTTAATGAGGCACCCAGCAATGCGTATTACTAAATATGTGTACTCTTTTTCCTTCACTAGAATTTTTTCCCACGGGGTTTTTCCTAGTAAGGTTTTAATGAGGCACATTATCTTTTAATGAACATCCAAGGGGGAGTGTTATAAATATATTATATTATGGATGTTCATTTAGTACTCCGTTGTAAATAAGCTTCCTGAAGAAGCTTATCCATATGGGACTCCGCCGTAAATATGTTTATCTATTGAGTACTCTATTGAAAATAAGTTTCCTGAAGAAGCTTATCACTTCGGTACCCGATTATAGATAAACATTACCCCCGGTAGAAGATTATCCATACCGGGTATAATAAGCTTATCACTTCGGTACCCGGTTATAGATAAACATTACCCCCGGTAGAAGATTATCCATACCGGGTACAATGAGCTTATCCTTTCAGTACTCCGTTATGGATAATCATTGCCCCTGGTAGAAGATTATCCATATCTGGTATAATAGCAGCTTACACAGCAGCTTGCAGTAGCAGCTCACACAACAACTTTCTTTCTTCTATAAATAGAAGAGATTTCAGTTCATTATGTACATCAGTTTAAATTCGAATAATATATCAATTTCTCTCTATACTTGTCTTACTTTACCGTCTTCATTTTATAACACATTTCTCATACTTTACTTTTTTCTATTCTTTTGGTGGTCGCCAAGAACTTTTCTTAACAAAGTTTCTTTAAAGAACAACTATCCAAACACGTAATATTTTACATGAAACTTAAAATTAATAGTGATTTCATTCAACTAATTATAATGAGTAAAATGAGAAATAAATTGCTGTTATTTAGTCTCTTAATATGATTTTATGAAAATGACTTTATATTTTATTATCGCTTTCTTTTACCACTTGAATATTGTATTGGGTGATACCCTTTTTTGCTTGAGCCCGACCGGGTTGGGTCCGGTCCGGAGCAAGTCGGGGCCATCGAACCCGACCTGGATGCAAGGTAGAACGACGGCCACGTCTACAACCGAGGTCGAGTCATTTCGAGACCGTTACAGAGCTCGATATGAGTCACCACCGGATGGAGAAACACACAAGGTCGGAAGCCGGACTCGTAACGGATAACCAAGCGTCGCCGGCTCGCCCAAACGTGATTTTCTCAACCACTTCAGGCCATTAAGGCGTAATTACAGGGATCCACGACGTAATCAATTGACCTACCTTATTTTTACCCTTAATCAGAATGTATAAAAGGGGATCTCTCTAAATTCTTATAGGCATGAAGGACAATCGTTCTAAGCAATATTATATTCTGCGATTATTTACTTTAACAGCAATTGTTGAGTCTTTATCTTTTTTTTTCCTCAACCTAAACCTTTTGTATCTTTTAGTTCACGGATCCTTAAAACCCTATATAAATTCAATTGTTATCCGGATTTGAGGGTAAACAGTTTGGCGCCCACCGTGGGGCTAAGGATATTGGTGAGCTCTTTGATACTCTTTCTTGACGCATCACAATACACTGGTTCTTTGCAAAAGAATCCATCTTACATTCAAATTACCAACTCATAGAATGGCACAATCAATTAACAACGAACTTGAACAGCAGACAGGAAACAATGGAATGCCCGGGCTCGAAAATCCGATAGATGCCGGTTCCCGGATGGCGCTCAACACTGATCAGGCCTCCGGATCATCGCATAGCGTCCGGGGAGAGGACGATTCGAGGGCCCAGGCAGTCGGCGAAGAGACTATCAACCTTAAAATGATTTTTGACATGCTGCAAGCCCAGCAATCGGCCATAGCTCAGCTCCAGAGCCGGGTCCAGGAGCCTGTCAGGTACGAGGAGGCTCCCCGTTCAGCTGCAATCATCAATTCAGCCCCAGTACA